TTCGATAAAAGATCCATTTTTCGTCGCCAGTCAAAAGTCTATCCAAAAAAGGTGAAACAAGTTGGCGAGAATGGAGAGAAGAGCAGATATCAACTCGGGATTTGAAGTTGTTTTCAGACATTTCATGAGGCACCCATTTTCCAAGTCTAGGAACTTTTCCAAGTTGTTGAAGATGACGATGAACAGTTGTATGGTTTGAACTGAGAACCACTGCCAATTCCTCAACTTAAAAAGCAGGATTTTCTTCAAGGGCTGCTTCAAAAAGCTTTTCATCAAACTCAACTGAACGTCCGGTTCGATCTTCATCTTCAAGGGTGAAATCTCCACCTCTGAATTTTGTAAACCATCTTCTGCAAGTTATTTCATTCACACATTCCTCTCCATAAACTGAGTGAATGTCTCTAGCCGCTTCGGCTGCTGAGTTTCCTTTCTTGAACTCATAAAGCATTATGTGCCTCAAATGATTCTTGGGTACTTCCATGTTAGCAGGGTTTTAATCAAACAAAATTTAATTTTATTGTTCTCTGAAATAAAATTTGATCAGTTTAAATGCATCTAAACATGAAAATAATGTTCAGCCCCATTAGACATAAAATACTCTTTAAATTTCGTTCATTTTAACAAAAAGTTAAAATTCGGACAGAACATATGGGATGACCTGATACATCTATGGTCAAAAGAATTATTTATATACAAGGTTTTGAGGACATGTCTTGTAATAACTTTCACTTTTTTGTTCTGAAGCGATCTGGTTATTGTTTCATTTCAAATGTGTGGTCACTCACATCATACCAGCAGAAATAGCCTCGTGTTCAGTCAGTTTTGTGCCATGCGTGATACACGCTTAGGTGATCATGTATCTTTCGATACATGACTGACGAGGCAAATTTTTTTTCTTGCAATAGGTTACCATTTCTTTCTGCGGTAGACCGATTGCCGTCAAAGGCTATAGAACCCGGTCTGTCCCGCTATTTACCCATATCTGGGAGGTAAAGAAGTGGATTCATATCTTTCCCAAGGGTATCAGCACGTGAGTGAATGTAATGGATTCGACTGGAATTCGAACTCGGCTCTCCGATTCCCCAACCCATGCCTCCTAGTCAGTTATGTGCCATGCGTGACACACGCTTAGACGATCATGTATCTTTCAATACATGACTGACGAGGCAGATTTTTTCCTGCAATAGGTTACCATTTCTTTCTGCGGTAGACCAATTGCCATCCCAGGCTATAGAACACAGTCTGTCCTGCTACTTACCCATAGCTGGGGTGTGAAGAAGAGGACCCACACCTTTCCCAAGGGTATTATGACGTAAGTTAATGTAATGGATTCGACTGGAATTCGAACTCGGTTCTCCGATTCCTCAATCCCAGCCGCTACTTACATTGAGCATTATATATATATATATATATATATATATATATATATATATATATATATATATATATATATATTATTTATTTGAAAATATGATTCCAACACGCTACATAAGAGGTCTACATAAGAGGTGTAGCGTGTTGGAATCATATTTTTAAATAAATAATTATATTTATGCTCTACTTTTGTATCGAGCACTATTTTTTAAAAATAATAACAAAAATACTTTGGATTATTTACCTAACGAGTTATTTCCTATTTTCTATATATTTTCATATATATATATTTATATATATATATATATATATATATATATATATATGGGAATGATGCTAAAAGCATATTAAATTGTAAAGTAAAATCATACAATTAATTTATTTTTGTGTACTGGTATAGTGGTATTTTTGGTTACACGTATTTTAAAGTTGATAAAAAGGAACCAGTCATTTCATATTATGACACAATCTCCCGAAGAGAGACGATGGACGTTTTGACTTTTCAAAGGTCGTTAGAGAAGAGACTGAATTCAGCGTCTTTTGGCGCGAAGTCGGTTTTCAGGCAAAATATGTTTCTGTTGCATTCTGGGAGAACTTTTCTTTTTCTTTTTGCGTTTATTTAATTTATCTTAAACACATTTCTAATGTTATTTGTTTTTTTTAATTTTTATTTATGATATTCATTATTATTATTATTATTATTATTATAATTATTATTATTATTATTATTATTATTTTATTTTCTTTGATTTCTGGCGTTTATACATTTCTTTCCGGGTCCCGCCCAGGGACCTAAGGTTAGAAATGGCATCATGACACTTTCCACTGGCAAAAAAAAAAAAAAAAAAAAAAAATTACATAGATAAAGCCCTTCGTTAGGTGTGGGCTGTACTTGTCAGAACAATTTTCTGTATCTCCTTGAGGCATGGACTTCCAGGAATCCCTTCAATTAGTCTACTGGAATCTTTTCCAACCAGTCCTAGGGCTCCAACTACAACAGGGATTGTTGATGTTCCCATATGCCACATTTTCGCGATTTCTATTTCAAGGTCCTTGTACTTTGACAACTTTTTGAATATCTTCAAAGATGCATTGCAGTCAGCAGGGACTGCCATATCAATAAGAAGGCACCGTTTTTTGTTTGTGGTCTTTAATAATATCTGGCCGGTTGGCCTTGATTGTTCTGTCAGTGTGTATTGTGTAGTCCCATAGAATTGTAACAGGTCCTATCTCCGTAACCGGGTCTGGGTGGTGTTCATACCAGTTTCTTTCAGTTTTCTTCCGTAGAAGTTGCAGATTTTCCAGTGCAGATATTGGCCCACTCTTTCATGTCGGGTTTTATATTCGGTGGGTGCCAACACCGTACAACCTGATACAAGATGATCAATCGTTTCTGGATATTTATCACAGAATCTGCATTTTGGGCTGACACAATATTTTAGTATATGTGCTTGATAATTCCTAGTTAGCAAGCATTGGTCCTGCGCCGCAAGGATAAAACCTTCAGTTTCCGCTTTCAACCCTGCACTACGTAGCCACTGATGGGTACGGGTTTTGTCTACGTCAGCTTGTTTGGTACGGGCAGAGTATTGGCCATGAAGCGGTTTATCTTGTCATCGCTTCTGTAACTGGTCGGTTGCATTCGTCTTTGCTGTCTTTTTTAGGTATTTTGCAGTTTCAGCCGGTGTGTTGTGCTGTAGTTGCATCTCTACGCCCATTTGGAACTCCATTTTGAATTTTTTGGCTTCCTTCATTACGGAGTAGAGACGCTTACTACTTTCATTATTATTATTATTATTATTATTATTATTTTATATATGTACTAGCTGAATTAAACACGTCTTGTCATATTCACGACGTTTAGGCCGTTGTACACTCCGGCCTTCTTCAGGTGATTGGACACATGGCCCATGGATAAAAAGCTTTGGTTGGATCCAACGACTTGACTCGAACAGTTGTGAGTTCAATACCTGACTATTACAGTGGTGATCAAAAACTTAGAGAGTTGAGTTAAAGGGAGATAACTGAGACATCCGGAAGAGGCATGACACGTGGAACTAGAACAATCTACCGCGGTGTCCGAAAAAAAAAGGGTTCAGTTCGAAAATGACAATCACCTGACGAAGGCCGGAGCTTATAACTGCCGAAACGTTGTGAATATGGCAATAAAGATGAGGACAATGTAAATAATTACAATGCCTCATCTCAGAAATATAGATAGATAGTATATGGAAAATGTAAGCTTCGCAGTGCGTAATGAACGTAAGAGAATAAGTGGGGGATAACTGGAGGATACGTGGAGGTAATCTCTTAAAAGAGTTTGTGCGAATGGAGGGCAGAAGAGGGATACAGTGGGAAAACTTCATGACAGCTAGAAAAGAAAGGAAATTATGATAAGCCAGGATTATCTCTATCCTGAAGGGATAATACACATAAAAGAAGATTTGATCGCTCAAGGCTAATTAGTCCGACACAAAGACTATTTTAATCCAATAAAAAATATAATAGTATTTATAATTACGATTTGATAATAAATTACTAGCGTAATCCGAGAAAATTTCGCGGTTTTCCTATTTGAATTATCTGCTACGTAGCGATATTCGTTTCGACACCATTTCATTTTTTTTATCGACTAAGTGGACCTCACAAGTACCGTGTTAAACAATCTTGACAAAAAAGCCATGAGTGTAGCCAGAACTTGTGTTCTTGATAAATTACATTTTAGATAAAGACAAAGACGTGACAAAGACGTCATGTGTACCCCCAGCAGCAATGCCTTTGATCAGTAGATTGAGAATTTTGAAAAGCACATTTTATTTGATGTTGTTCCCAAATTTACCCTGACCTGTGATATCACCAGTTAGATTCTCTGATATAGGCAAATAGTAATCAATAAGAAAAAAAATGAATAGTACGTTTTTATAATAAAATGACTAACTATACATTTTATAGCAAAATGACAATCAATGCAACACTAAAAACTACTTTGAATATACGCTCTTTAGCGCTAGAGGGCGTCGTCAGTGATGTTCTGATTTGGATCATTGGGCAGTTTCGGGTCTTTCAAACATCATACTTACCTCACTAAGTCGACCCCATCAGAGCTGATCGGACTCTGATACGCCCTCTACAAAATGCTTGTAGACACTGACTTCTATAAATATACCCCGTTATCACGCATTTGATTGGTGGTTGACCAATAGCCAATCACAATGGTGTGAACTCTATTTAAGTTGTTTACGGGGAATTTTTCTTTTTTTTTTTTTTTCTTTTTTTTTTTTCGAGTGGACACCATTTCATCGGATACTTAGAAGCTAATTTTGTTTTCCGTCACCAGCTAATAATTACTATTTACAGAGATAATAAGAAAAATTTGGCCATAAAAAAAGAAACAAAAAAAAATTACTAAAAAAACTCGTTTATACGATTAAAATGAATAAATAAATTACAGCGAATTAAAACTTATAAATATAATAAAACGTTTAAAACATGTTGACGAGTAAAAAAAAAAAAAACCTTTAATCTATCGATTATAAAATTAAATTTATGTATTTTAGATCGTTAAAAATAAAAACGAAACGGGAAGAGGGGTAAAAAAAATATTGGTGAGAAAGTCGTGATTAATCATGCTTTGCATAAAGTCAAAAGAATATAAAAATACATTTTTATAGTAAAATTACAAAAAAAATACATTATATGATCTACAAAATATAGATAAAAAACATACCTTTCTTCTGAAAGTATAAAATTACATGCAAAATCTGCAGTTAAAATCATATTACTTATTTAGATTTCGGCATTAAATAATAACCCATAAAGATTGATAAGTCGCTAAACAAAATCAATTAACCAACCAACCAGGACAAAAAATGCTGTTCTCTATAAGACAGTGGTCACTATCAGTCGAACACAGAAAGACTCAGAGAGTGGCAAGAGACCGCATCGCCGCAATGCGAAATGAAGACGCCCGTTGTACTGTTCCCTTCCCTTCATCTTCGCTTCATCTCTGCCTCGCTCGTCCCCAGCAGAAGGTTACAACCAGAATAAAAACTTCCTACTGCTACGATAAAATCTACTGGACTTATTTCATGTGTAATGATCTAGTTAAAGAGTTATTTTTTAAGCCCTGCAACTTGAGAATATAAACTGGTGTCTAGTTTTAGTTGCAAACTTGATGTAAAATGATATTTAATGAAACACACTGCGAGTATCACGGTGACAAAATACCTCTATTGCATCGCTAAATATTTGAGCAAGTTATTTAAAGAAGTGAGAGGGTACAAATGAAAAGATTTAAAACTGACAAGTTTTTATATTTTACTGAAACGGGCATTGAATTACTAGAATAGTATTGTCTCCTCTTTCTTTCTTTCTTTCTTTCTTTCTTTCTTTCTTTCTTTCACTCTCTCCCTTTTCTTTCTTTCTTTCTTTCTTTCTTTCTTACTGAAACAAAGCAGCGCCCGTTATGAGATGAGGTATTAG